GGTCGACGGGTTTCCCGAAAGTTTCTCAGCATTGCCCCGATTCGTTACTCAGCACACCGTCTGCCCTGTAGGGGGCCTCTGCGATTACCGGAGCTGACATGCAGACTTCCTGTCCTGTCTTGTCCCTCTCCCGACTCAGTCGAGCAGTTCGGATCAAACGCTATCGGAGCCGAGATGTCCGCGCTGGGTGTACCGACCTATGGTGCAGGTCCTTGTGGATGCTAGACGGGATGCAAGGATCTCGCCCATCCAGCGGGGGGGGGTGCTGCTGGCAACCTCCTTCACCTCCTCTTCCTCCCCCTCCCCGTCTTTGTCGGACCTGCCCCTCCTCGTCCTCCTATCCTTCTGCCTCGTCCTCCTGCCCGCGCTCCTCCTCCCTCCCATTGTCCTTTCCTCTCCGTTTTCTCTTCGTCTTCCGTCTCGTTGTCGTCGTCCTACTCATCCCCTTTTTCATGTTCTTCCTTCTCATCCTCCTCCTCTATCTCCTCCTCCTCCTCCTCCTCCTCCTCGCCCTCCTTTTTTTCCTCTCCCTCAGCCCCGCCTCTCCCCTCCTCTCCTCCCGGTTTTTTTTCCCACCCCTCTTCGCCTCCGCCCCCACCCCCAATCCACAATATCTGATGTACGTGTGTATGTACGTACACATATTTATATATACATATATATGTATACATATGTGTATGTTAGCCAGCGCGGGCCCCATACAGTGTGTTTCTAAGAATATATGTTGTGCAGCGTGCGCTGTGCAATATATTTGGTGGTATCTATGCTGCGCGCAGAAGTATCCATGTGCATGCATGTGCGCAAAAGGAATATCAATGTTTCAGAGGTTGCTGCCATGCTGGCCAGTGTGTGGACGAACGCGGCCCGAGAGTACAGCCGTTCTCGCCAGTTCCCTTCCACTGCTCATGTGCGCGCCACACGGCCCATGTAATGTTTGTTTTTCGGGTGCCATATATAATCAGCCGCCTATGTAGTGCAAAACAAATATACACATATTTACATATCGTGCAATACGCATGGTGCCCTCTATATTGTGCAATACATGTAGTGCAATCGATGTTGTGAGCCATCAAGAAGCGCGCCGCAGGCGTGAACAAATCATTGCAACATATGTGCAATAAGGCCAACGCGACGGGCGGCGACGACACGGCAACGGGGCGGCGACGGCGGCCACATGGCCCAGACAGTGGTGCAATATATGTTGGGCGATATACGTTGTGCAATGTATGCGGTGCAGTCTATGTTATGCGGTAAATGTGGTGCGAGCTATGCGGTGAGAAATGACAAATGCGCCGTAGCTGCGGTTTCTACGCGGCGACGAGGTGGCGACGGGGCGGCGACGGCCGACACGGGCGACGGGCGGCGACGAGGTGGCGACGGGGCGGCGGCAAGGGCGTTCGAATGAATTCGACATGCGGCGCGAAAAGGCCCATTCGGCTGAACTTAATGAACATGCTGGAACACCTAGGGTTTTCCTATGAACTCGCAGGACCGGGAGCGCATGATCTGTTTTGACAATTCATGTTGCAAAACCATGTGTTTGATATGTTTTCGGGACGCTCGATTTTGAAATCCTTACGGGACCTGAGGTATCGGAACAATTTCGGCATACGCGCGTGATGACGCGCGCGCATTGCGTCCCATTTGTTGCAAGGGATTACTGCGACAGCACGCGCGCAAGGGCGTTCGAACGATTTCGACATGGTCCTGCGAGAGGCCTGTTTGGTAGTAGTTTCTGAAAGTATTGAAACCCAACGCTTTTCTGAAGAATTCGCAAAAGCGCGGGTGCAGGTTTTTTGACAACCCCTCTTGCGAAACCGTGTCTTGTTCTATGTGTTCGTGTTTCTCGGTTTTGAAGTTCCTACGCAAGTTTTCAAAACACAACTGCGTGCGCGCGCGACGACGCGCGCGTGCGCACTCCGTCCCGCTTTTGCTAGGGATTTCTGGAATTTGCGGTTTTTGATAAGCGATCGTGCGCGCAGATTTGTTCTGCAGAGGATGAGGGGGGGGGGGTCGAACTCCAACCTGCCTGGGATGGTGCGAATTCATATTTAGGATTGGCGATGGGGTAAAATCGTATGCACATTGCGAAACGAAAAGGTGGACCGGTAACCCCGGGGGGTAGATACGAATTTAGTTTTAGAACGCAGAATTGTGCAGTTGATTTCTATTTGCAGTGAGTTGATAACTCCACTGCTCGCGCAATCATCCCACCCACCCACCCGCAACTTGGTTTGCAAAACCCATGCGGCGCGATTGCGATGAGAGCTCGGAGTTGGTTGGTGCATCTCTGCGGCCGCGCTAGTCCGCGCACGTTTGCGCGCGCAGCGGCCAGATAACTTGGCGCTACCGTCGCGACCGCGGTGGCGCTGACCGCTCTGGGCACATCCCAGCCAGCACTTCAGTGCGAGTCGGCGACTTGGGCGGGCGCGGTATCATGGCAACGTCGGTAACGGTACGCGCGGTGATGATGGCAGCGGTGTTGGTGACGAAGATGACAACGACGACCGTCAGGGCAGTGACGGCACCGATGTTGATCACGCCGGCGACGATGACGCCGCCCTCGCGTCGGTGATGAAGGTTTTGTAAAGAGAGCGGCATGCGCGCGCGGCCGACGCGCGCGAGTGGCCCGCATGGTGTTATTTAGCAGATCGTGCCCCCCCCCAGCACGTGCGCAAGGGCGCTCGCATGATTTCGGCGTGCAGCACGAGGGGCCCGTTTGGCCAAATTTGATGAACGTGCTGACAACCGTGAGTTGTTGCTAAAAGTTCGCGGGGACGCGAACGCAAACATGTTTGAAAACTGATGTTGCAAAACCCTGTGTTGTTGTACGTGTTCGAGACAATCGATTTTGAATTCCTTAAGGGTCTTCTGGTGTTTGAAGGATTCCGGCTTGCGCGCACAACGACTCGCGCGTGTGCACTTCGTCCCGCCGTTCGCAAGGGGTTCTTGCGACAGCATTCTCGCAAGGGCGTTCGAGCGTGTCCCGCTTTGTTGCGATGGATTGTTTAAAACTCTTGGTTGCTTTTGTGAACGAATGTGCGCGCATAGGGTTCTTTGCAGAGGATGAAGGGAAAAATTGTTACCAGCCTGGCTGGGGAGTACGAGCTCATATTTAGGATGGGCGATGGGGCAGAATCGTATGTAAGCTGCAATGCGAATTCGGGTCGGTTAAATCCGGTGGGGGGGGAGGGCGGGATGCGAATATTCTTGTAGCACAGAGAACATGTGTGGTGCAAGCTATGCCAGGCAACGCAACAAAATGCAGCACAATGCAAAGCGCGGCCAATCAATGCCAAGCTACGCAAAGCAATTCTCAGCAACGCAAAGCATCTCGAAGCAATGCGCATCGATGCGGCGTAGCGCAAAGAAATACAAACGAATGCAGAGCAATGCGCAGCACGGCATAGCTATGCAAATCCTATCAATGTGAGGCAGTGCGTTGCAGTGCGATCGCACAGCAGTGCGATTGCATTGCAATGACGCGAATCAGTGCAGCAAGCAACGCATCGCAATGCAAAGCAATGCTGGGCAATGCAAAGCAGTGCAAAACAATGCCAAGCGATGTAACGCGATCATGAGCAATGCGAAAAAGTGGAAGGCGGGCGGCGACGAGGCGTTGGGCGGCGACGAAACGGCGACGGCGGCGACGACGCGGCCAGAGCGGCCCGCAGGCCCAGGCGACGAGCGGCAAATGGCGGCGACGGCGGCCGCATGGTATTTCGATGTCCGGGGAGTCGCCAGCCCGCTTCCGCGTATTGTTTATTACGCAGGATTTCTACTCATGATTTCCGTATGGTTGTTTACGATCTGTCTGATTTCGGTCCTTCAAGAAGTTGCTGCCGCCGCAGCGTAGGCTTAATTTGGCGATCGGAGTTTTGCTCCCCGTCGATCAGAATGGCACTCCCGCCCTAGCGCGTGCCGCTGTTCTGGATCCGAGTCCTTCCTGAACGTTGTCGCCCCCCTCCTTTTCTCCCTTCTCCGCCTTCCCCTGGTCCTCCTGCTCCTCCCGCTCCTTCCACTTCAGTTCCTGCTGCTGCTGTTCGTGCTCGTCCTCCTTCTTCTTCCTCCTAATTACTTTTCCTCCTGCTCCTTCTCCGCCTCCTCATGCTCATCCGCCACCTCCTCCTCCAACGTACGCAGCTCCCCTTCTCCGACGTCGCATAATACGATGGGGTCCTTATTGTAAGATTTCCAGGTCTACCATGACACGCGCCCACGGATATAATGCAGCTCAGTTCCATGGGAAGGGATGGGCGGGAGGGGCCGCAATATTAGATGTGGCGCAAGCGCACCTGGCTTGCCCTCTCCCCCTCTCCTCCTCCCACTCCACCCGCCCTCTCCTCCCCCCCATCATCCCCCCTCCTCGTCCTCCGCCTCCTCCTACTCATCCTCCTCCTCCTCTTCCTCCGCCGCTCATCCTCTCTCCTCCTCCTGCTGCTGCTCCTCCTCCCCCTCCTCCTCCTCCTCCTTCTCCTCCTCCTGCTTCTCCTCCTCCTGCTTCTCCTCCTCCTCCTCGCCTTCCCACACCCCCACCCCCACTCTTGGAGCGGCCATCAAGAAGTGCGGGAGCGCTGCGCAGTGGCGCGCGGCGCTGGGGCTGCTCCGGGACGCCTCGCGGCGACGCTTGGAGATCGGCCCCGCCCTCTACACCGTCGTCATCAGCGCGTGCGGACGAGGAGGGGGATGGCAGGGGAGAAGGGAAGAAGGAGGAGAAGGAGGAGGAGGAGGAGGAGGGAAGAGGAGGAGGCATGATGAGGTAGGATGAGCACGAGGAGGCGCAGGAGGAGGGGGAGGGGGAGGGGGAGAGGAAGGAGGGAGGAGGACGATAAGTAGGAGGGGGAGGAGGCGGAGGAGGCGGAGTATGGGGGGGGAGGAGGAGAGGGAGGAGGAGGAGGAGGAGGAGGAGGAGGAGGAGGAGGAGGAGGAGGAGGAGGAGGGCAGGGTCCGGGAGGGGAAGAGGCGCCCGGTGGCAGCGGGCGACGTCGCTGCTCAGGGAGATGGCCGAGGTGAACCTGGAGCTGGACGTCATCTGCTGCAGCGCTGCGACCACCGCCTGCGAGAAAGGTGGGCAGTGGCATCAGGCACTCTCGCTGACGAGGAGGGGAAGGAGTGATGGACCCTCAGACCCGGGCGACGCAACAAGAACCGTGACTGTCTGTTCCCTGTCGTCTTTTGCCTCTTAAGGCTGTCTCCCAGCCCAGGGGCTGTCAAGAAACGACTCGGGATAAAGATCGGGCCCCATTAGAGTTGCCGAAGGCCTGGGGTGCCGACGTCACGTATAAACACAACGACGTCGTCGTCGTCGTCAGAGGAGGAGGAGGAGGAGGAAGAGGAGGAGGAAGAGGAGGAGGAGGAGGCAGAGCGGCACAGGCGCTGTCGCTACTCTGCGAGATGCAGGAGGTGAGGCTGGAGCTGAACCTCTTCAGCTACAGCGCCGGGATCAGCGCCTGCGAGAAAGGCAGGCAGTGGCAGCGTGCCTTGTCACTGCTTGCTCAGATGCGGGAGGCAGAGCTGAGGGCAGACGTCATCTGCTACAGCGCTGGGATCAGCGCTTGCGAGAAAGGCAGCGAGTGGCAGCATGCGCTTTCGCTGCTGAGCGAGATGTTGGAGATTGAGGTGGAGCCAGACATCTTCAGTTACAACGCCGGCATCAGCGCCTGCGAGAAAGGCGGGTATTGGCAGTGGGCATTGTCGTTGCTCGACAGCATGATGAAGTCAACGGTGGAGTCGGACGTCGTGAGCTACAGCGCTGGGATCAGCGCATGTGAGAAAGGCAGCGAGTGGCAGCAAGCATTATCGTTGTTCCGCAAGTTGCTGGAAGTCAAGCTGCAGCCAGACGTCTTTAGCTACAACGCCGCCGTCAGCGCCTGCGAGAAAGGCAGACAGTGGCAGCAGGCTCTGTCGTTGCTCCGCGAGTTGCTGCTGGAAGCGGAGCTGACGCCGGACATTCTCAGTTACAACGCCGGCATCAGCGCCTGCGAGAAAGGCGGTCATTGGCAGCAGGGGCTGTCTTTGCTCAGAGAACTGTGGACGGCAGAATTGCAGCCAGATGCCGTGAGCTACAGTGCCAGCATCAGCGCTTGTGAGAAATGCTTCCAGTGGCAGCGGTCGCTGTCACTGCTCAGCGAGATGTTGGAGGTGGAGGTGGAGCCAGACATCCGCAGCTTCAACAACGGCGTCAGCGCCTGCGAGAAGGGCAAGCAATGGCGGCTGGCGCTGTCGCTGCTCGACGAGGCGTGCAGGGCGAAGCTGGAGCTCGACGCAAGAAGCTGCCTCGCTGGCATCTCGGCGTGTGGGATCACCGGGCAATGGCGCGAGGTTCGGCTGCGCGCAAGAGCGACCTTGCGCCGGAGTGACCCTTTGTGTGCGGGCCCACATCTGGGTCCCCCCAGCATTGGCTGGCGCGCCTGGATTTGTCTGCCCGCGGTGCCCCAACGCTGCGCACCGCAGGTCACTCTTCCCCAGGGTCACTCCCGTGCGTGCAGTGGAGAGGTGCTGTCGCTGCTCCACGAGGCGTGGCAGGGGAGGGTGGCCCTGGGCACGATCGCCCACACCGCCGGGATGAGCGCGTGCGTGAGCGCTGGGCAGTGGCGGCAGGCGGTGGCCCTCCTCGGTGCGGGGTTCGGCGCGGCCCTGGAGCCGGACGTCGCCAGCCACAGCGTGGGCGCCCGGGCGTGGCTGAGCGCGGGGCGGTGGCAGCAGGCGCTGTCGCTGCTCGGCGCGCTGTGGGGCGCCGGTCTGCAGCTGACGCCGCTGGCCTACGGCACCGGGCTCCGCGCCTGCGAGCAGGGCGGGCGGTGGCTGCGGGCCGCGCCGCTGCTCGGCGAGCTGTGCGCGACGCCAATGGCAGTGATGCGGTCGGTGTTGTGCTGGGGGCGACGGCTCCAAGTCTTGTCCCTCCTGACCCCCTCCTCCGTCATATCATCGAGGATGAACGACCCCAATAAACGCAAAAACAACGTGAAGACGTGGCCTCACTCAGGTCCACGTTTTTGCGTTGGCGATCGTCAAACTGAACGGTTTGTTTGATAGATCTGCAGAAAAGACCCTCTACCCCTCATGATTTTGGCCTAACTTAGGACCCCTCCCAAAGGCTTCGGGGTTCGTTTATTGCTAATCATCATACTCGTCGTCGCCAGCCTGTCCTCCTCCACCTCCTAATCCTCCTCCAACTTCCTGTGCCTATCTTTCTCCGCTCCTTTCCCTCCTCCTGTCCTTCCTTCCTCTTGACCCTCCCTCCTTTCTGCCCCCCCACTCTGCCTTGCCACCCCTCCTCCTATCTCCTGCTCCTCCATACGCTCTCCCACCGCTTCTTGCCAGGCGGGAGGGCGCCGGAAGGGGGGGCAGGAAGGGTGGAGGAAGAGGAGGAGGAGGAGGAGGAGGAGGAGGAGGAGGAAGAGGAGGAGGAGGAGGAAGGAGGAGGAGGAGGAGGGGATGGGGGAATGGGGGGAAGAGGGGGAGGAGGAGAAGGAGGAGGAGGAGGAGGAGGAGGACGGGGAGGAGGAGGAGGAGGAGGAGGAGGAGGAGGAGGAGGAGGAAGGAGGCGGAGGACCGTAGCCATTTGGGCTCAATGTTTTGAGGCTTTCGCCCGAAACCACTTGGACACAGCTGATCCGCGGCTGATGCAAATCCTTTCGCCAGGTCCGCCCCTGGCTGAGCCGTCGCTGGCCCGCCCCAGCGACGGCGTTTCTCCATGAGTCCCTATCCACCAGTGAACCAGTGCACGCCAGATTGCGCAACCTAGTTGGACTCAGGCGAAGGGGGGGGAGGACAGTTCTGGAGGCGGTGGAAGCGATTCAAAGTCAAGCCAGAGGCCTGGAGGCCAAGCGCCGTGCCTGCCCTGAGTGTGAGAGCAGACGGTCCCTGGCCAGCGTCGCCTGGCCACTCGCTGGATAGCTAAGGGGCTACTCGGGGGTGCTCTTCGAGCTCGGGGAGCTCTTACCTGGCGGCGCCCCGTGCGTCCCCCGAGCATTTGCCCTGAACACAGCATCGAATGGTGTCTGCGTGGGGGGGGGAGGGGCATGGGCAGGGGCAAGACCAGGATCAGGAGCTCCTCAGGAGCAGGAGCAGGGGCAGGAGCAGGAGCAGGAGCAGGAGGACGATCGCCAGCATCGATCCTTAGAAGTGGCCCCATCTGCTGTTGCCAGGAGTTCGCCCCTGTCGAGGGATCGTCGCAGGGCCCACCCCTACTACCTGTGAGGCTAAGCTCGCGCCTACGCCCACGGTTGATTTCTACATGGGAAGCTTACCTCAGGATGCGTCGGTTTCGTCGCGCATTGATGACCTAACCCGCCGCGCGCGTGGAGCGGATTGAGTTGTTTGGCCTCAGGCATGGCGGAGCGTATAAGTTACAAAGGTCGTAGGATTGCGCGCGAGCTTGGCCTCCTGCTGGCTGGGCATGAGATCTGCATTGTAGCTTCCTCTAACATGGCCCTGGGGGTTGCTGGGCAGGCTGGGGGTGAGATTCACGGGGGCCACGGGGGTGCACTCGGATGCGAACCTGGGGCTTGGCTTCAGCGCGGGAAAGCGCCGCGCGCACCCCGAGGCACGCGCCACTCGAGGTGTGCGCCGGCGCAGGGTGTGCCAACGGACTTCCGGAAATCTAAGTCCCAAAAGCTTGGGCATCAGATGCTTCTAATGGCGAATGGCGCGATCCCGTCTGTCATGTATGGCGTGTAGCCCTCGCCAGGTAGCCCGCCTACGCCAGTCAGCCGCCGCAGCTGGTGGAGTGTCGATTCGGGGCGTTGACGGGGAGTCAGCGCGGGGGCCCTCTCGTACCAGAGATCCACTGGAGTTGGCGGGCATGGCGCTGTGTAGGCATGCGGCGGAATGGTGGCGAGCTACAATGCCATGGACTGATCTGCAGGAGAAACAGTCGGATGCCTTCACGCCTGATTTTTTCATTATACTATTTGGAGCAGCCGCATCCGCTGATGCTCCACCACGGAATCGCCAGTGGTTTAAATGGAGCAAGGGGCCAATGTCTGACACCATCGCCTGGGTCCAAGGGGGATGGGCTGTCAGGGGCCCGTCGGTCGTCGTAGACCAGCTTGGCAACGAGCTCGAACTGAGTGTGATTTCACATGCGCATGTTGCCACGAAGCTCGTGTCGCAGTTCAAACACGTACGCATCCAAGCGGCAGTAAGGAAAGTTTTGGAACATCATCCGTACCCCGAGGCCCCTGCCCTCCAAGAGAGAGAGAGAGAGAGGGGAATCTGGTGGGAGATCTCGGCTCGCGTCTTGCGCTCGGTACATGAGCTGGCTGCTCGTGCTGTAACTGTCCTGAAGCAGGCCACGCGGGGGGCTGTCCCCACTACAGAGAATCTCAGGAAGTGGGGCTACTCCTTTCCCATTGAGTGCGAGTTTTGTGGGAAGCCAGACACGACCTTCCAATGTGCTGGAACTGCTTGCACGGAGCTCAGAAGAGAGAGGAGACTTGTACGCCCGAGATGTCGCGGGATGCGACGTCTGCGGGACCCCAGAGCTTTCTTTTCGCCAAAGACTGGCTGCCAAAGTTCGACGTCCTTGAGCCAGCCCAAGATTGGGAGCTGAACTGTAAAGATGTGTCAGGTGTCTGCGAGCGTTTTGAGTTTCCCCGAGGGGCGAATTTAGGTTCGGACGGCAGTTGTGTCCGCCCAGCTCTTGGAGAGCTAGCGCGAGCTGGCTTCGGGGTCTGTGAATTAGATTCGGGCCGAACGAAAGGGGGGGTAGGGAAAGTGGGGGTTACGAAATCTGCTGCATGCAGCTGGTTTCGGCCCCGCCGCCAGGCCTATTCCGCGATACATGGGCGCCTCCCAGCGCCGGGAGGCGCTGGGAAAATCAGCTGCGTGAATTGATTATTCTCTACCCTACCCTTTGCTATCACCCCCTTTCGTCTCCCCCGATAGGTGCCGAGGGGAACCTGCACTGGGGACAAAAATTCCGGACCCGTCCGTCCCCACATTTTTTGGACGGAGCTCTGGGGCGGGGGGGGGGGCACGCGGCCCCTGTGGCCGGGGCTATCCACGCGGAGGGGGCCCTCCCCGGTAGCCTCACGGTGGATTGCCAAGGTCTGATAGGGGGCAGGCTTTAGCCCCCAAGCTGCTCTTGCTCAGAATTCGGTCGCGCCCCGCTTCTTCCGCCAAGTCGCTGTCGACATCCCTGAGGGTTGGTTGACGGCCCAGAAGGCTAAAGCCCACAGAGGGGAGGAGCAAGCAGAGAGCCGTGTCTACCTACAGGTCATCTGAGGCAATAGGCGTGCTGACTGGTCAGCGGGTCATAGGGGCGGTACTGCGTGAGGTTCCCCCCTGCGCTGGCTGACGAGACATTTTATATTGCTTTTCAGTATTATGAACGTTGTCACTCCATGGCTTGGATCCTTGCTGATTGGCCCACCTCCCACCTCAGGAGGGATCTTCGGGGAGCTCAACAAGGGGAGTGTGGCCCCAGATGTACGCGAGGACTGAAAAAACCACGCTCTCCGTATTAGGCTGGGGGCCATTGGAGACTTGAATTCTGCTTGCGCATTTTAGCAGTAAAGCACGTTTTGTCTGCAACGGGCGTCTGAATCTTTCTCTTCTCAGAGTCCTGGCGATCCCTGATCGGAATCTGCATCAGGTGCATGTTGCCTGGACGGTCTCCACGTGTCCCCAGTTTTGTGTTGCGTTTTTTGCGGGGCGTTTGCCGCCCAGAAGGAACTCCGCTTCGCCGAGCGTTGCCAGTCGAACCGCAAGTCTACGGAGCTATGCCGGCTCCCGTCAGAAGGCCTCCCGATGACCGAGCTCAGGCTCGGACCAGCTCTCCCACTCGCGAGGACACCTCTCGACGGGATGGCGACCAGGCTCATGGGCGGGGGCGAGGGCAGCAGGAGGGCGGGGCCTTATCGTCTCTGTTCTAAAACTAGTTTGGCTCGCAGAGCGGAGTTGCATTCTCTCAGATTGCCCAGCGTGCCCAGGAGGAGGAGGAGGAGGAGGAGGAGGAGGAGGAGGAACGGGCGGAAGAGGATGAGAAGGGCCAGTGTAAACCCAAGACTCATGAGCGATGTTGGAATCAACCCTCCCCCCGAAGCTCCCTGTTCATATGTCCCTGCAGTGATTCATTTCCACGGAGGGAAGTGCCAGGATGGAAGACAAGCGCTTGAACATTGCGCACTGTGCCAGAACATTCTTGGGACAACGTCGTGCCAGAGCACCATTCTTGGGATATCAGCACCGCGAAACAGCGTGACCGCTGCGCCCCGATTGCTCGCGCGACGCAAGTGCGGGAACCAGATGTCGAAAACGGCCCTCCCAGCATCCCTGAAACTCTGGCAGCATATCAGCTTCAGGGTCATAAGTGGCGAGGAAGTCTCAGGCGAAGCGCCCGGCCCGCGCTGACGACGCGCCTCTGGGTGTGACAGGGACGTGTTTTTTATGAGGAAAAGGAGTAGAGGAAAAGGAGGGGCCACGAGGCGCGGGAGGAGGAGGAGGAACAGGAGGAGGAGGATGACCAGGAGGAGGAGGAGAAGGAGGAGGAGGGGGAGGCGGGGCACGAAAGGGAGGAGGAGGAGGAGGAGGAGGAGGAGGAGGAGGAGGGGGAGATGGAGGGGGAGGGAGAGGAGGAGGCGGTACAACAGGAGGGAGAAAAGGAGGAGGAGGGGGAGGAGGAGGAGGATGAGGAGGAGGAGGAGGAGGAGGAGGAAGATGATGATGAGGAGGAGGAGGAGGAAGAGGAGGAGGAGGAGGAGGAGGGGGAGGAGGAGGAGGAGGAGGAAGAGGAAGAGGAATTGGAGGAGGAGGAATTGGAGGAGGAGGAGGAGGAGGAGGAGGAAGAGGAAAAAAGACAATGAAAGACGACGTCTATCAGGAGGAGAAGCAAGATGATGAGCACGAGGAGGAAAACGACAGAGAGGAGCAATCGGAGGAGGAGGCGGAGGAAGAAGAGGAGGAGGAGGAGCTGGAGGAGAGGAGGAGGAGGAGGAGGAGCATGATGATGATGATGATGATGATGATGATGAGGAGGAGGAGGAGGAGGGAGAGTTGTTGGAGGAAGAGGAGGAGTTGGAGTTAGAGTTGGAGTTGGAATTAGAGTTGGACTTGGAGTTGGAGTTGGACTTGGAATTGGAGGAAGAGGAGGAGGAGGAGGAGGAGGAGGAGGAGGAGGAGGAGGAGGGGGAATTTGGGAGGAGGAGGGGGGTGAGGAGGATGACCAGTGTAAAGCCAAGACGTATCAACGATGCTGGAATATACCTTCGCTCCAGGCCCCCTTTTCACAGGCCCCCACAGCGGTTCATTTCCACTGGGGGAAATGCCCCGTTGGAAGACAACCGGTTGAAGACCCTGAAGCGTGCCAAAACACAATTCTCGGGACACCAGCGCGACGAATCAATTTGATGTTTGCGTTTTGACGATCCTGAACCGTGCCAGAACGCCATTCCTGGGATTTCGACACCGCGAATCAACGTGACTGCTGCGCCCTGACAATTTCCGAAAGACCATTGGTGGTGGGCTGACCATGGGAACCGGTGAAACCTTCTGCA